TTGTGAATTATGGCATCCACTTCAGAAGATTCTTCCCTCATTGTCTTTGGTTGACATAGATTGGTGTTCTTGGCATTGGTTGAGGTTGGAGCCCTATGAGAATTATGTTGCAATGAGTTTTCACTCAAATTCTCGAGTAAGGTCCAAGCCTCATCCGCATTTTTAGACATGAGCATTCCTTCACATGATGAGTCAACCATAAGTCTATGTGGTTTAGTTAAACCATCATAGAAAGCTTGCACCAATTGCCATTTTGGAATTAGGTGGTACGAACATTTCCTAAGGAGGTCTTGAAGTCTTTCCCAAGTCTCATGGAGTTGTTCTCCATCGATTTGGGAAAAGCTAAGAATGGACCGTCTCATTTGATTGGTTTTACTCACCGGATAGTATTTTTTTAGGAATTCTTGTTGCAATTGGGCCCATGTAGTGATGGAATTTGCAACAAGGGAATTCAACCTATATTTTGCCCTATCTTTTAAGGCGAATAGGAAGAGACACAAATGGAGTGCATTTTCAGGGAAGCCCCTCAGCTTGATGGTCGAACAGATTTCAAGGAACTCATTAAGATGCTTATAGGGGTCTTCATTTTTAAAGCCATGAAAGGATGGAAGCATTTGAATGGTGCTAGATTTGATTTCATATTAGGCTGCATCGATGTTTGGCATCACTATGCAAGAAGGAAAGGCATAAGTGGTAGGGATGAAATGGTCCCTAAGAGTCATAGGTACCACATTTGGAATTTCACCCCTTTTATTATTGATTTCCTCATTCCTTACATTTTCTTCATTTCCTACCATTGTATTAAATTCAAGTTCAATTCCTCTTATATTTTCAGATTCCCTAAGGTTTCTTCTAAGAGTCATTTCAAGTGAATTTATGTCAATAGGTGATTCAAGAGTTGCTAAAGATAATGACCTATGGCCAAACATTAACAACACAATTCACAACAAGCACAACACTTCTTCACCATAACATCCACATACAATGTTCTCGTTCTCCTCAATTATGAACAAGACAGAAAATAAATGGCCACGACAAGGACCGATGCTTTGCAATACAGTAAAACAGGAATAGCCTTGACAACGGCTTCACAATCAAAAATTACTAAGTTAAACACATGCAAAATATTCACAATTTTGAAACTAGAACTTTGAAAAACTTACTCGGAGTCCTCTAGACTTATGATATTTTCAATTTTCCCTCAGCAAGCCTTGAGTACCTAGAATCTCACAAGAGTACTTAAAACAAAGAAATCATAAAAACAAAATTGAAAAATATCCACAAAACACAATATTCACAATCAAACCAAAGTCAATCTTTAAACCCCGGTTACAAAACCATTTGCAATCCCAGGTAACAACGTCAAAAATTGGTCAGTTGTATAACTACTTACCAATTATAATCAACCCTTGCAATAGCACAAATCATTGTAAATAGGGCTATCATAGGGGTAAGTCGAACCACAAAGACTGCAAGTTTATGGCAACCAAGGTTTTTGAAATCACTTTGTTTGATGAAAGAGGTGTAAAGTTTGGTTTTGTTTGTCACTTAAAAACTAGAATTAAAAATTGCATAAAACAATAAATTGAATGAATTTAAGAGGAAAGAAACTTAAGTAAAGAGGACTAGGGAAGTGAGTTAGCTACCAACCCTATAAACATGCTAGCTTGTGATTAACTTGGGAAACAACTTAAATATATGGCAATGATATGTAGCAATATAAGATTACTACATTATATTCAAGCAATACATAGAATCAAGAATTAAGTATAATCCCTCAAAGTTCCAAATGCTTTAACTACCTAAATTAGAGTGTAGCTATGACATGCTCACTAAGCTAAGGACTATCAAACCCCTCAAAAACTATGGTAATAGCACATAGAGTTAAGAATCAAAAATAATCCATCAAAGGGTAGCCCTAAGGTATGGACTAACAAGTTTCTCATACAACATGACAATAAAAACCATTTCATAATCTCATTTCCATTCTCACTATGAAAATGCAAGCCATGCAAAGCTCTAGATTATGAAACTACCATATACATGATTCATTCCCCAAATTAAAAATCAAAACTAGAGCATGCTTATAAAGAAGGGTTTCATCACCTCCCTAGAAAGGGAGTTAGTTCCCATGAAGCAAGAGAGAAGGAAGTGGAGGAGATCTTCCCCCCTATTTTCGCACCTCACAGCCAAGAACAACACACAAGCTCTCAAGAACAAACTTTCTCTCTCTAGAAATCCTCTCAAGATTAAATATATGGTTTACATCCTTCCACCCTTCTCATATAAACAAGATGTCTACCAAACCACCCAAAAACAGAGGTCCATGTCCCCTAAAGGTGTTTTTCCAACAACCTAATTAAGGAGGGAATCCAATTGAAAGGATCAATAAGCCAAGTGGGTCAGCAGTGCTTAGACGAGCGCTCGTAGGACACAACACGAGCGCTCGTAAATGCCTTAGCTTTCTTCTCATGGTCCGGAGTTGCAGAGACAAGCGCTCGTAAATAAAGTAACAAACGCTCGTAAATAGCTTATTTCTCTCTGCCTTGAATTGGAGTGCGTGTAAGAAGGACGACTGCTCATGTGACATGGTGGCGCGCACTGATTGCTCATAAATGTCGGTCGAGAGCTCGTAAGGCACCGGACGAACACTCGTCCGTGCCTTAGAGTTTATTTTTCTTTTCTCCTGCTTTGAACTTCTTTCACTTTGATCTTGGCTTTGGGTCATTGAGTATCCTCTGCCTTTTTGTTTTGTCGAAAGTCTTTATAAACCCACTTCGGCAATTTCTTCTTGGAAATCAAAGGACACAAAGGCCCGGAATGACTTAATCTTCAAAAAGCCTTTAAAAGCTTCCATTTTATTTCCTTTTGGAAGACAAACCTGAAAATACACAGAAACACGGAACTGGAGATAATCTGTACAATAACACCAACTACTGAACTTAACTAATGCAAATAAGGGCGCTTGAATATGCAATATTCGGCGCTTATCAAAAGTCACTCATCTTTCCAACTGGAGGAAACTACTTCCCTCTTTGGCTTATATGTGTCCCATTTAGCAACAACTTCCCAACTGTAAAAAAACTGTTTCTTTCTCTGCCTACCACGTTTCCACTTGAAAAGTCACACGTCTTTCCAACTGTAGGTAACTACTTCCTCTTTAGCTGACACATGTCCCTATGTAATTACTTATACCAAATGACTTCTTTTGATAAAGCCACTTATTGTTTCATAATTGCATCTTATTTGCATATTACTCTTCCAATTGGAAACGTTCACCCTTCCGGTTGGAAACGCTCACATTTTCATTAGGATCGACCACGACAACCTTTCCAACTAGAAGATAATTATAGTATAAACACATGGTATTAAGATTTTACACATCCCCTTATAGGAGAAACATTTTACTACTCTTCTTATATTGATTACATAATATCACCAATTGATTAAATGATAACATTCATTGATATTATCTCACTAAAATAAATATATTTTTATTTATACAACAAGGTATAATTAATGGATAATACAGATAACGTGATATCACCATGGAAAAGTCTTTCTCATAGCTTTAATCTCACCAGAAGGTGGGACACACTTCCAATCACAAAAATAAGCAATTAGTGTATATATATAGAGAGAGAGAGTCGTGAATTGCATTATTGAATACTATATATATATATATATATATATAAGGGATTTTTACACATAAGTGGCCTTATGGACTCATATTTACCATCTGATTGAGTCAAAGTCTGAAAGTTTCAAAAAAAATGAGATTGAACCCAATTGCTGACATGGACATGAAGTTTCACTATTCAATCTAATCTATTGCCTAAAATAACCTTTACTTTTGATCCAAATCACCTTACTATACCCTAACCATTTCACCCCCAAAACATACCCATCCCAAACATACCCTCCACCACCACCACAAAGGCGGCATTGCAGAGCTCGGACCGTCGTGCCCGCCATTCGCCGTGGGTCGAATCAAGATTGGGCTGTGGTCGTGGAACTGGGTTCGAGGAGCATCGTGCCCACCGTTCACTGTCTTATGCCGTTCGTGATCGGAATCGACCGTTCATGACCGCTGTTCTTTGTGGGTCGGATCAAGATCTTAATCCATGGTCGTGTCCTCGGGTGACGATTGAGAGGTTGGGTATGGGGTTGATGATGAGGGCAATTGAGGAAGAATTGAGAGTGATATGGTGTTGGCTTGGTGGCGTGGAGTTTAGTGATTAGGTATTGGATGGAGCAAATCGGAGGATTGATGACTGTTTCAGTGGTGGGTTTGTTGACAAAGGCCAACCACATACTGACAGAGATGATATCTTCGTTGTCTTTCCCTTGCATCAATATCGCCGAGAAAATTGTTGGGGCTTCATCGTTGTTTTGTGTAGCCAGAAGTTGCAAAGTGTCATCGCCGAAAGTTGCAAAGGTCATGATCCGTACTTGCAACAAATTTGTTCACGCGAGGAAGAAATCCTAATCATCTACAGTCATCGCTGCACGCAAGTCTCACCACCGCCACCGTCGTCGCAAGACTTGTCTGTGCTTCGTCGCCGTCACTGCAGCTCGTCCGTGTGGTTGTGAGGGAGACAAGGGTTGTTTAGCTACTAGAATTGTGTAGACCAAACCAGCTTTACTTAAAACCAAACTTGAGTGAGTGAATAAAATGGGGGCAATAAGGTAATTTGGCTCAAAATGAATAGTAAAACTACATGTGCACATCACAATTAGGTCAACTTCATTTTTTGGAAACTTTCAGACTTTGACTCAATTAGATGGTAAATATGAGTCCATAAGGCCACTTATGTGTAAAAATCCCTATTTTTAAAACGACATTTACTTTTCTTTTTTTATTTATTAGATAAGAACGTACACAAATTCATAAATTACACATACATCCACAAATTGTCCACTGGAGCTTAACCCTTTCCTGGGAAGGAAAAGAGGTTATACCATGGACTAATTACACACTGCTAGTAGCATACAAATACTTAATTACAAATATATAACAAAAAAGGATTGAAAAAAAACAGACACACACACAAAGCCAGAACACTTCTTGAAACTAGAAAGTAATTTCTTTCAATCACTTTGACAAGAGAACCTCATTGACCAATTTGTCCAAGTGAAGTTGGGAAGAACCATCAGGTCCAGTAGCCACTTCTGCTTTCCTCTTCCACTCCATTGCCTTCTCCTTCATCTCCTTTCCTTTGCCTCCCTCCATCAAGTCCCTCACAAGCTTCTCCACTTCCACTCTCTTAACATCACTGTCTATTTCCATGCCTATGCCCCATTCCCTGCAACTGTATAGGCAATTCATCTGCTGCTCGGCAAAGAATGGCCAGCAGATCAGCGGCACCCCACCAGATAAGCTCTCCAACGTTGAGTTCCACCCACTGTGCGTCAAGAACCCTCCGATCGCCGCGTGGTTAAGGACTTGCTCTTGTGGGCACCAACTTGCCAACATGCCTCTTTCTTTAGTCTCATGCAAAAACTCAGCTGGCAAAATGGCATTCTCACCTGTTACTAAGTCAGGCCTTATTATCCACAAGAATGGTTTTTGGCTATTAGCAAGTCCCCTTGCAAATTCAGTGAGTTGTTGTGGTGTCATGACAGTTATGCTTCCAAAATTTACATACACCACTGAGTTGGTTTGTTTTGTGTTCAGCCATTCCATGCACTCATATTCTTCTTTCCAAAGATTGGAGCCAATAGATTTCAAGCTTTCGTCCGAAATCTGATTGACCATCAAGTGGAGAGGACCGACGCTGAATACACGAGGATACATGGCCGAGAGAGTTTCCAGTACTTCTTGTTCCAAGGCGTCGAAAGTGTTCAGAATGATAGCAGAAGCTTTGTCAAGGGCCTCTACTTCACTCATAAGAAAGTTGAGTATGATGTCTTTTGAGTCTGTTGTTCTGATGAAACTTGGAAGGTCTCTCAATCGAATGTCTTTCATTCCTGGTATCCAATCTATAGTTGTGTCCAGATACCCATTTGTTAAATAGCTCACATCTGTAAATCAGAACAAAAACTAGCACATAAGAATTTGAGTAATGCATAATAAGAAATTATAGTTTACTATTAAAATATGAAAAATGACATTCATCATCCAAATGTTTTTTTGTACAACTCCACTTATTATTATTCACCTCCTTTACCACTGCACTATGGCCGGGAATGTTGGGATTTGATGCTTGGTTTGTTTGGAGTTTTGTGGGTCATGCATAGATCCTCTAGAGGATTGTTTGAGGTTTGGAGAGGTTGCATGTAGAGTGGGAGCCCAAGTCCGGGATGTTTGGAGGGTTACATCTTTGTATGTCTGATGTTGTATTTAGCTTAAGAGGGATAAGAGATCTTTCGAAAAAAAGGAAAATTGTATTTCAATACTTAAGTTCTCTATTATTTTCACTGTTTGTTTTTTTTGGGTTGTAGGTAGAAATTATAGGTCTTTAGAGGAAATTGTTTATTTTTTGGACTCTTTGAAAATCTAGAGGCCCTATTTGGCCTTGTGTAGTTCTCTTGGGATGTACTCCTCCCTTTTGAGTGCTTTTATACAATTTTACTTATAAAAAATAAAATAAAATAAAATAAAAATCAACTCCACTTAGCTTCAATAATTAAAATCAAACTGCTTACTGGAATATTAGTGTTCTTTTAATATTTGCACCATTAATTTTGAAGTATCAGACAATCAATTTGATGTAATTTCTATCATATATAACGTTGAATGTTATGTCCTACCTGTTGTGTAGATATGACATGCTTTGCGGACCACATAGACTTTCAAACGAGATCTACATATTTAGGAGACATTTACCCATCAACGACCTCTTTGAAGTCTGACTTTGAATGACTAGAACTTAAATCATTTATGAAATTATACCACTTTATGAAATCAATAATATTTGATGAACTAGTTGATCTTTTCGCGACATTTATCATGAAAGGCATTTATCCCCAAATTTACGTGATCTGATGAACTAGTTGATCTTTTGCGACATTTATTATGAATAATATTTGATGTTGCCTAGCATTACTCTGAAAATATACCACAAAATCAGATTGAAGGTGTTTATATAAGATCTAGTTAATTTACCTTTGAGTGGTATTAGTCCTCTTTCCACCAGACGACTGTATTGTGTATGACCCAAGAACCCACAAGCGCTTGGCGTCCAGAATAGTACTTCAGGGATTCCAAACTTTTCAGCAGCTTTGACAGTGAAGCTCATGCAACCGTCGGCCACTATACAACTCACCGGCGGGATGTTGGATGACAGTAAGTCGTTCAGTTTGGAAATGAGGTTACAGAAAGGTTTCAGGCAAGTCTTTGAAGTGGATTCACAGAGAGAAGGGAGGTCTTGGGTGGCATCGGCATCCGAAAGAGGGAGTCCGTCGGGGATGGTCTCAAAACGGAAGTCCGGAAAGCCGTCGAGGGAGTTCGGGCCTCTGGACTTGAGTAACCGTTTGTGGTTGAACTCAGTGTGGACAAAAGTTATGTGGAAGCCTCTGTAGTGAAGGACTTTTGCTAGTTTCATCATTGGGTTTATGTGACCTTGAGCTGGGTATGGGATGCACACAGCATGGGGTTTGTCATCCATACCAGTAAAACCCATCTCTCTCCCCCTCTCTCTCTCTCTCTCTCTCACACACACACTTCTCACTCCAATGATTTGATGAAGAGGAGGAGAGGCTCTCCTCTTTTATAATGAAAATATAAATTTTTTGATAAGAAATACACAGAGACACCTACTTCAATCCTCAACTTTCTATTTTGACGTAAAAGATCTTTTACTTTATGTTAATGACATGATAATCACCGGAAATGATCTTACAGGTTTATCTGCACTCAAAAAATTTCTTAATCATCACATTGAAATGAAGAATCTTGGGCGCTTAGTTATTTCCTAGGCTTGGAGATTCTCTATGATTCGGATGACTATTATCTCTCCCAAGCTATGTATTTCTCTGACATTCTTGCTTGTGCTGGACTCACGGATTGCAAGACAGCTCCCACTTCATTTGAGACAAATGTCAAGCTCACTCCTTTAGATGGTACAATCCTCAAAGATGTTACATTGTATCAACAGTTGGTTAGCAGTTTGGTATATCTTACTGTTACTCGACCTGACATCGCCTATGTTGTGCATCTCGTCAACCAGTTCTTATTTGCACCACGGTCTACTCATTATACTGTTGTACTATGCATCATTCGATACATTAAAGGGAATCTGTACCATGGCCTCCACTTTTCTGCTCAATCTTCACTTGAGCTACGTACCTACTCTGATGCTGATTGGGCAGGTGATCCGATTAACCAACGTTCTACTACTGGCTACTACTTCTTTCTTAGGAACTCTCTCATTTCTTAGCGTAGCAAAAAGCAATCCGTCGTCTCCAAGTCCAGTACAGAGGCCAAATATCATGCCCTTGCTAATTCCACACAAGCACTTATCTGACTTCGATGGCTCCTAACTGATATGGGTGTTTCTCATTCTACTAGCACTATTCTTTATTGTGATAATCAGAGTGCTATTTACATTACTTATAAGGATGTCTTCCATGAACACACCAAGCATATTGAAATTGATTGTCATATTGTGCGTCAACATGTTGATCATGGTATTGTACGTCTTCATTCTGTCACTTTCGCTCATCCACCAGGAAGATTTCGAGAATTAGTTTCCAAACTCAAGTTAATTTCTACTCTACCACCTTGAGTTTGAGGGGGGGATGTTAACTTAATAAATATTATAGCCGTTGTATAGTGATTCCAGTCGTAGCCGTGATTTATATACCAGTTGTAGATCTATAGCCTATATATCTCCTGCTTTGTACATTATTATAGAACTTCAATATTCATTTTACTGCACAATTAAATTGTCTCTCTCTATTTCTCTCAATCTCTGATATTCAATAGTCTCCTTTACAGTTTTAGGATTTTATTTATTATAAAAATATGTATTGCAATAGCAAGAAAAAAAAAATTAATCAATTTTATCAATAATATTTCAAATTGCTTTGCAATTCTCTTTTTCCTTATGGATTCAATAACCCTCGTTCCTTTTGAACGCATTTAATCGCTTCCGCTACTTCAGTTGGTATCAGAACCTTATCGTACCCTAGTCTGATGACGATTGATCGTTTTGGCAGCAACCACTCTCGCGATGTTGATCGGGGAGTGCAGGCCCTTTGGGCAGCTATGAATACTCAAGAATAGTTCGTAGCAACTAGTTTTGGAACCAGGTTCGTGGTTCAATTCAAGTTCGCGATGATGATATGTTTCGCAGCCAACCGAATTTGGGTTATGTTCATGTTTATTCACGTAGGCCTCTAGCCTATGCAGATCCTTTCGATGATGAAAAGTTCAGATTTAGAGCAGTTGTGATGAATGGACGCGACATAAAATATAGAATTCAGACAATAGTAAGTTTCATAAAAAAAACTCAATTTACTTATTTTTACTTTTACTTTTTGTGCTGAGGATATCTTGAATTGGCTTAATGAAGTTGCTTACTTTCTCGAGTATTTTGACATACCCAACACAAGCAAATTCCTCTTGTAACAATCATGCTTAAGAATGTGCTTCAGCTTGGTGGGAGCAGGTAAAAACTAACCGGAGGTGGCAAGGAAACCGCACATACAAACTTGGTCAAAGATGATAAGGTTATTAATTGCAAAATTTTTACCACCAAATTATCAGCAGGTACTGTACAATCAATATCAGGATTGCAAGAAAGAGTTCACTTTGTCAACAAGAAGGAGAATAGTGATGATATTTTTGAAGTAATCTGTAATTTTCAAGAAATTAATTATTAGCAAAATTCAATTGCCACGCATATTGTAGTTGAAGCTGATGAAATCGCTCATGCTTTAGAAGTCACAAATGCACCTAAAAAGGATTCTAATGACAAGGATGAAGACAATATTGAGCCGTCAAGTGTCGTGCTTTTGACACTTGTTATTCAAGTAATGATATAGAGCAAGATTTGAAGAATAAAAGCTTGAAGGAACTTGAAGTCGTCGGTGATGATTTGATGTGGTTTGGAGATTTAATTGAAACAGAACAGTTTGACCATCAGGCTAGTGAAACCGTAGATGCGGATAACACACTTGAGATGAATAGAACATTGGTTATTGCTTTTACTGATTCTAGTACTACCGACTGTCTCAACTTCAACTTCAAGTCATTATTGGTATAAAAATTTGTTTATATTAATATATGATTAGTCATGACAAACTCAAGGACAAGCGTTTGTTTTTTTTTTTTTTGAAGTGAGTTTGCTTTACAGTTTTATGGTTTTATTTATTATAAAAACATGTATTGTGATAGTAAAAAAAAAAATTGCAGAGCTTGCTCTACAATTTTTTAATTTTTTTTTTTTTTTTTTTTTTTTTGAATTCAAGGAACCCAACTTGTGAATTTAAGATAACCCTCCTTTCATGTCAATGTCTAATCGCTTCTGGTATGTCAAAAATGATGAAAAAAATAGGAATTGTTTTTGGTACACACTGACCTACCTAGAAAATTATGTGAGTTAATAACAAAATTTGTTAATAATTTTAGAGGGCGGCAATAATGAGATTTTTAGCAAGGGTTTATTACTTAAAAATAATAATCAGGGAGGCAATTGCACCCGCGTGTGTGTATATATATTCTGTGCCACTCGATGATTTTGTACAATTTAAATAAAAAATGTAACGCACTACGTTTAGAACTCAATATTCATGCAACAGCAATGTTGGCACTTAGCAAACATATTTTGAGAATGCAACACTCTTAAAAAGTATTACATTGAGATGCAATACTTCAACATTACTATTAAATAAAAATTGTAATATAATACTTCAAAAGTATAATGGAGTTAATCATATCGTACTCTGCATAATTATGTTTACTAATCACTTTTCCCTTATCTGTTTGAATTTCTAAGTGTTACTATTTTGTTACACCAACTATGCAAGAGAAAGTCAATTGTACGGGGACAATGAAGTTTAAATTAATAAATTTGCATCAAGTGAAGTCCCACCCCATATGGATGCTCGTGGCCCGCTAAGTGATATATTAAGAAAATTTTCTACACTATTATAAAAAGATTAAGAACCAAGAGAAAGTTAATTACATGGACATTGAAGTCTAAATTATTAATTTTGCATTAAGTATATGAAGTCACACTATATGGGTACTCGTGGCCAGCTAAGTGATATAACTAAATTAACCACATGTCAGTGTTGACTTTATATAGAAAATAGAAAAACAAAATAAAAATGAGCTGTCTTCTAGCGTAGAGTATTGAAAACAATGCTAATTTTATACTCCATGTTGGGTTTGGTGGAAAAGAAAAAATTTAGATGAAAGAGAAAGAAGAATAGATGAGTAGGATATGAAGCCCATTGTGCCATGTTTTATTTTTTCTTTGATCGGATGGAAAATGAGATAATAAAATAATATCTTATTTTGTTTGTTATGCGAAAAAAGAAGAGAGGAGAGAGTGTAAATTATAAAAAAAAAAGTTTTGTAATATAATTTTTTATTTTTTAAAAAAAATGTACATTTTTTCTTTGGCGTCTTGGGTTCCACATTTGGAAGGACGAATATTTGTAAAGGAGGACGGATGTCATCCGTCCTCTTTTCTTTTCTTGTTATCCCTCCTCTTTACCAAACAAAGAAACTTTATTTATTCCTTTCTATCTCTTCTCCACACATATTTCTTCCTTCATATCAAACATAACATTAATGCTTTGAATCTTCCAAAGAAGGCTTTGTTATCGCTAGAGATAACGGATGCCTATTACTGAAAAAAAAAAAAAAAAAAAAAAAAAAAAAAAAAACGAAGAAGAAGAAGAAGAAGATAAGAGATGCCTTTTTTTAAAGTTAAATTAATGTTAATGCAATTTATTTAAAAAATTTAACTCCACAAAAATACCCTTTTTTATGAGACAATAAAACATACCTTGTTGGAACAAAAATAACCTTTTGAATATCTACTCCTATCTCCTTGGCCTTTATTTTCTGAATATTTCATTATATTTATCAAAAAAAACGTGGCAACTCCCTTGTTAGACGCATCTCTTACAGTTTCTTTTTCTTTTTCAATTTCCTTGTTTAAGATAGAAATCATTAGAAAACTTTGAGCCTATGTGATACCCCAAATTTTCAAGTGTAAGCTCGCCAGGCCCACACCCGAAAACCCAAAAAAAAAAAAATCGATAGTGGACAAGTACGGAATACATATAGATAAATAAAAATGTATAATTAATAAACAGTATGGAAAACTAACTAATGAATAATACACCATCAATAATAAAACCTCCAAAAGTTACATCTCCTCAAACGTACTAATCTCCAATGTATACAACTCGAAAATCCATAAATCAAGGACATCTAAAATAAAACCATGAAATGAAGTAATTAAACTCTAAGTCTAGAATGAAAATAAATAAGATAGCATCCTACATTAACGAATCTAAAAAAGTGGTGAAAATTGTCTTTGATCAGTAGGACCTTAACTATAAGACTGGAACTGATAAGAACCTGAAAAATGAGTGTGGGTTTGTGATATACTCTCTCTTTATTTCTAACATGGTATCAGAGCCTTTTGATCTCTAGTAAATA